CTGTCATCATCACACGTGCTTTGTCGGGAGATCTGATTGGTGTAATAATAATAATAATAATAATAGTGTGGGTCGAAGCCAGCGACCGGTCATTCGCATAACGTGGGGGGAACCATCGAGGAGGGGGGGTGGGGAAGAGGGGAAAGGGAAGGAAGAGGAAGAAAGAAGGGAGAGAGAGGGGAGAAGAAAGAAAGAAGGGGGAAGAGGGGGAAACGACAAGAAGAAGGAGAAGGGATCTAGAAGGGAGAGGGATAGAATTGGGGAGAGGCTAGGGGGAAGGGAGAGGGTGGTGGTTAGCAGCGAATTAGGGTGAGGGGAGACGTAGGGGGGGGGGGGTAATGGTAGCGAATAGGGGGGGGTGAGGGGAAGAGGGAGTGATGACCGCAGGGATATTGTTATTATAGCCGCGATAACACAGGATCCAGTCCGGGGAATATGCGTTTGATGTGCTCCCGACAATGACCTCCGCGCGGAATGCTTTTGGAGTTAATCGTAGAAAACTATAAAATGCTGTCACAACGTGTAATATAACCATCGCAGGTGAGGGGTTAAACAAGAGGGGTGGGGGGGGGGGGGTGAAAGTGAGGGGGGGGGGAAATTGGTTCGTGAATCGCAAAGGAATAAAATGTTTAGATCACATCAAATATTCTTACCCTAAGAAATGACCAGAATAATGACTGAAAAAAAAAAACCTGGAATGATATTAATTTCAATAACATCAAAGTCAGAAACTCGGTAACAGAATTACATGAACGGATTATCTCTCAGGTGAATAGCTATGCACGCTCTTACAACAATTATAACTTCTACAGTTTATATCTTATTATTTAAGAATTCCAGCGACTTAACGGAATACTTAGTTTCAATACATTTTTTTCCTGTTTTATAACCTACCCTTCTTCCCCCCATCCCCCCCCCCACGCCACCTCCCTTCTTTGGCTAGCATTTCTCTCTTCATTAAGTGTTCAGTACCTCACACGTCATTAATTCCTTACTGCCTCCTCTAAATCATTATCTCCCTCCTTTCCTTCAATTTTTCTCTTGCCTTGCCTTTTCTTTTTCTTCTTCTTCTTCTTCTTCTTCTTCTTCTTCTTCTTCTTCTTCTTCTCTTCTTCTTCTTCTTCTTCTTCTTCTTCTTCTTCCTCTTCTTCCTCCTCCTCCTCTTCTTTTTCTTTTATCTTTTTTCTTTTTTTTTTCTTTTTCTTCTTCTTCTTGTGCCTCGTCACCTCAGCCTTTCATCACTTCATTTTACTTGTGTGGGCGTTCGTTTTCTTTCTTCTGCTGCTGTGTCTTTATCGTATTACTTTTCTTGTCTTAAATTCGTCTATTTCTTTAGATTTTTTTTCAGATCCTGTCTGCATTTATATAAATTTTGTTTCTCGTCTTCCTTATCTACTTATCTATATTCACCTGTCTTATCTCATGTCTTACTTTACTTCCCTTCTCCTTGGCCCACACCCTTTCCCTTCCTCACTCTCTCCCTCTTTCCATCTCTCTTTCTATCCCTTTTTTTTCTTCTTTCCCCCTCCTTGTCTCGCCAAACCTTCATTCTTTGTCCTCCGTTCCTCCGCCTCTTCCTGTTTCTCACCCTTGCCCCTCCCCGGCCGCCCACCCTTTCGCAGTGAGGGTGATAGATGGCACCCTAAATAATGCAGGTTTGGAAGGTGGATTGGTGTGTGTATATGCTGATCAATTTATCGACTCGGAAGAAGTCCCCCCTCTCCTGCCCTGTACATAATTCAGGCCTAACTTTTGCAACTATACATACACTCAGGCATCTTCTATTCGTAAACTTTTATGATAGGGGAGTGTAACAAGGTGAATTCGCTTTTTTTCCCCCTCTTTTTGCCCTCGAATATTTACTCGTATTCAACCCTTCGCTGCCTCGCTTTCGCTCTCTTGGAGTCTCAATCACTTATCCTCTTTTTTTTTCTCTCTCTATTTTCATCCTTCTCTTCCTCCCTCTCTTCTCTTCTCTTCTCTGCTCTGGTCTCTCTTTCATTTCTTCATTCCATTTCCCTTTCCTTCTCCGACTGTTTCTTTCTCCCCCTCCTCCTCTCCTATTCTCTCTCCCCTTCCCCTCCCTCCACTCCCTCCCTCCTCTCTCTCTCTTTCGATAAGGCTAGAGATAAAAAAGCCATGATTTCCTTCGGTCATAAATTTTCCCTCCAACCAACCAACTCCCTCCCTCCTTCCTTCCCTCCCTCCCTCCCCTCTCCCCCTCTTCCACCCCCTCACCCCTCAAAAAAATCCGCATCTCCCCCAGGGTGAAGTATCCATCATAACCATAAAGAATCTCTATCCCCATCTCACCTCAACCTCCCCCTCTCCCCCCTCCCCCCTTCCCCCTCCTCCTCCTCCTCCCCGCACCCTCTCCCCCCCTCCCCCCCCGTCCTTCGATACTCACCCGATGGAAATGTTCGCTTTAATCCCCTTCTCCAAATTTTGTCGGCCTTGTGCCTTCCCCCAACCCTATTTTTTACCCTAACCCTTCCTTCCGTCCTTTCCCTCCCTTCCTCCCCCTCCCCCCCACCTTCCCCTCTTCCACCTTTCCTCCCACCCCAACCCTCATCTGTTCTTCCCTCCCCTCCTCCTCCTCCTCTTCCTCCTTTTCCACCTCCTTCTTACCAACCCTTCCTCCCCCCCTTTACCCCTCCCCCCCTCTCCCTCCCACGGCACCCAAAGCACCGGTCGGACCCCCCCCTCGCCCCTCCCTCCCCAAGCATGAGAAGGAAGACAACACAATCTCCATTTTCGGATACCTGGGAAACATACGGGCTCCGTCAATTACCTCCTCCCCCCCCTTCCTTCCCCCTCCCCCCCTTTGCCTCCCCCGGGCTTGTCTCATC